GACGGGAACTAGGGTGTGCCTGTGTTCTGTCTCTGTCTTCCTGTAAGTGAATAAGGCTGCGGAAGGCAGGGTTACAAACACTCACCAGTCATGAGAATTTCGTGAAAGCAATTTTGTTAAAAATCAGTGTGTATTGGGGGTGGGAATGGCACATTATGTGGAATACTACTGTTTCATTTGGTGCTGCTAACATATCTTTTAATGTATCCCTAATTTTTCAAGAGAGTAATTAATTCATTTGAAAGAGTGGCAGAGAGATCTTCCATCTACTGCTTAATTCTGCAATGGTTGGGGCTGGTTCTGTGAAACCAGGAGCTCAAAACTCCATCTGTCTCCCACGTGAGTGACAGGGATCCAAGCACTTGGGCCATCTTCTATTGCTTTCCCAGGTGCATTAGCAGGGAGCTGAATCCAAAGTGGAGCAGCTGGGACTCGAATTCTGGTGCTGGGTAACATCTGTCCTTCCTGAATCAAAATGGCCAAACTCTGGATTATGGGAAACAGGATGCTGTGCAACCCCAGCACTATACAGAGGGGGCTGCAGAGAGACGTGACATTCCTCCGCACTGGTACAGGCAACAGGAAATATGCTCAAACCAGTGTTTTTGACAGCCCAGCTCTTATTCAGCTAAGGCCTGCCAGGAAACCAAAGCTCCAATGCCCAGGCTTTGGGCATCTCTCAGTACAACTGCGGGGGAAGAACCCTGCCGCTTATTTTCCTTCTACTGTCAAAGGCTGGAGACACGCCAAGCAGAAGTTGCCTGGGCCCTGTGTGGTGCTTAGGGCTTTGAGGCACATGGTGCTCTGCATGGCCAGGCAGGGTTCCTGGGTGACCTGTGTTCTCATCTTAAAAAAAAGCCCAGTTTCACTTTTCTCTCGTCCCCCCCCCCAAAATAGAATCAAAGTTAAAGGGCTTGGGGTTGGTGCATTGGCTTAACTGGCAAATCCTCTACCTCCAAGCACCGGGATCCCATGTGGGTGCTGTTTTGTGTCCCTGTTGCTCCACTTCTGATCTAGCTCCCTGCTTGTGGCCTGGGAAAGCAGTGGAGGATGGCCCAATGCCTTTGGACCCTGTAGCCATATAGGAGACATGAAAGAAGTTCCTGGCTCCAGATCGGCTCAGCTTCAGCTACTGCAGTCATTTGCCAGGTGAATCAATTGGATGGAAGATCTTTTTGTCTCGTTCTCTCTGTAAATTTGCCTTTCCAATAAAAATAAATCTTTAAAAGTAAAAAAACCACCTTCCTTTATGTTATTTTTGTCATCTTTTCTTATACATGCTTATTTATATGAAAGGGAGAAAGGATATCCAAATCCAGGAGCCCAGAACCTAAGCGAGGTCTCCCACATTGGTGAGGGGAGCACTTGAACAATCACCTGTTGGTCCCCAGGGCACACTAAAGCAGCAGAGCTGGGATTTGAACCCAGGCCCCTCTATGTGGAATGCAATCATCCCAGGCTGCATCCTACCTTCTGTGCCATGGGCCAGTTGTCTCCTTTTCTCTGGACAAGGGTTAACTTGTGAATCTGAACTGTGTACAGAGATCCTTTCAGCCTCTCACAAGGCCAGTGTCAAGAACTCTCTCAAGTTCAAGTTTGCAGACTGATTAGAGCAAACCAGAGGCCAAGGAAGAACCTACTCTTTTTTTAGTAGGGACCATGTGGCCTGTCAAAGAGGATGGCTCTTAACCGGCAGAAACCCGAACCAGCCCTTGGGGCTCCCATTTCCCCTCCTCGACAAAATCGGAGGCATTGATTTACTCCATGAATCATTGGGGGGGGGGCGGAATTTAAGGAATGAAATTTAAGTCATACAATTAGGGGAAAAGGGGGGGGGGCAAAAACATTGAGCTATTTTTAATACTCAGTCACAGAGTGACCGGGTCTGGTCTGAGCAGCAACCAAGTGTCTTAGTACTTTCCTTTCCTTGCCAGATATTGTTCATGTGAGAACTACCCGCACCAGAATGACCACACTGTACTGTGAGCACACTTCTACACTCACACACTCATGATCTATGCTTACTGCCAGGCCAACAGGGTTTTGACTGAAGCACCAAAAACACTTAGTAGGAAAAGTTCTCCACAGACAGGGCTGCAAGAGGAGGACACGGACTCCAATTGCACATCACACACCAAAAAGCAAATAAGGGGTATGCATTTATTCTAGAGGTAAAGAAACCAGTTCAGATCCTCACATTTGGGGCTGGTACTGTGATGTAACAGGTAAAGCTGTCACCTGCAATGCCAGCATCCCATACAGCCATTGCTTCATGTCCTTGCTCTTCCACTTCTAATCCAGCTCCCTGTAAATAGCCTGGGAAAAGCAGGAGAAGGTGGTCCAAGTACTTGGGCCCCTGACACTCATGTGGAGTCCAGAATGAAGCTCCTGGCTTCAACCTGTCCCAGTGCCGATGGCTACAATCACCCGGGAGTGAACCAGTAGATGGAAGATGGCTCTGCCTCTCTCTCCCCCCATCTCTACAACTCTGACTTGCAAAGCAAATGCAAAATCTTTAAAATATGCCCACATCTAGTTTTGGATTACTAGGGTCTGATGCCCAGTTCTGGCTAATGTGCTCTCTGACCCAGGGAAGGCAACAAGTGATGATGGCTCAAGTCACAGTTCCTGCCACCCAGGTGAGCCATCTGGATGGTGCTTCTGGCTCCAGCCTGGCCGGGCCACTGTGGGCACTTGGAGAATGAGCCAGAATATGGAAGCTCTCTTGCTCTCCTTTTGTCTCTCTAGCACTCTTTCAAATAAACAAATAAGTTAAGCAATTCACTATAAAGTTAAGCCCCACACACTTCCAAACATAAGCTCATAATAAACTGAGGGCTAAGACATTCAAGAAGTGTTTAGAAGAGGGCCTGCATGAACATTCACAACTTAGAAATGTAATAATGTAATAATCATCATCTGAAGGGATGGATGGTTAGAGGATGGCTAAGTGGCAAAACTGGTGGGCACAGGGGGTGCTTCTGGCATGATTCTTCCCCCATTTCTGTATGTTTCATAGTAAAATGCTGACGTGGGGGTGCCATGTGAGCCATGGTGAGGCTCCAGAAATGGGTGGAGTCATGGGGTTCTCTCTTTGGATCTGCTCTTGGGAACCAAAGGACTGCAAAGCCATTCAGGGAGACAGAGGCCTCCATGTCCATGCCTGCCTCCAGTGTGCTATTTAGTTAAGCAGCTCCCAACCACAGCACCATCATTATCATATGTCCAGGTCACAGGGCTGGACAGCCAGGAGCAGCACCCTAGGGTGTTATGCCTGAAAGAGCTTAAGAAGGCCTAGTTGACATGGAATGGGGTCAGAGAAGTGGCCCTAGCTAGCTCCCCTGTTCCTTTTTAAGAGTTATTTGATTTACTTGAAAGGTGCATGCGTGCACACACACACACACACACACACACACACACACTGATCTCCCACCTACCGATTCCCAAAATGGCCTGAAAGCTGGGAGAGGCAGATGACAGCATCCAGGAATTCCATCTGGATCTCCTATGTGGTTAGCAAGGGTCCAGGAACTCAAGCTATTCTCTGCTGCCTTCCTGTTGCATTAGCTGGGAGCTGGACCAGAAGCAGAGCAGCCAAGACTGGAACTGGTGCTCAGAGAAGGGATGCTAGTATTGTAGGTGGTGCCCCAACATTATGTCCCTTCTTTTTTATTTTTCAAAGCCTTATTTCTTTATTTGAAAGGTAGAATCAGAGAGAGGTGTCTTTAACTGCTGACTTACTTTCCAAATGGCCCTAATAGGTGAAGCTAAGACCCTGGAGTTCCACTAGGGGTCTCCCACATGGGTGGCAGGGATCCAAGAACTTGGGCCATCCTCCTGGCCATTGGTAGGGAGCTGGGTCCAGAGTGGAGTAGCAGGGACTTGAACTGCTCCAAGGTGGGAAGTGGCCTTTTGCCTGGCTTTTGCTTACTAGAAAGAAGCGTCAGGCTGGGTGGTTGTGGCACTGATAAAACAGAATGTTACATGGTGGCTCTGAAACTCACAGGGAGCGAAGGGCAACAGGGAGGGGAGGCATAGGAGGCTCTGGACTCAGGAGAGTCCTCCGGCACCTAAAGCCGGGTCTTGTGTCAGAATTTCTAGTGTGGGACTATTTATCCCCATTTATCCCTGGCTCTACCACTGGGGTACTAACCCATGAAGGGATCAGAGGGAAGAAAAGAGAAAAAAAAAACCTTATTAACAGTAGGCTGAGTGACTTTTTCAGAGGTGAAAATATATTTGTGTAGAAAGCGAATTCATTGTTCACTTATTACACTTTACTACAAAGAAAAAAAAACAGGGTCCTATGAAAATTTCTTTAATTTCATCTTCTGGAAATACATTTTTCAATTTTATCTCCATGATACAAAAACGATAAATAGCTGATGATGATCTGTGGGAAGCAGGTCTACGGACACAGACTCGCAGGCTGTCATGGCTGTGGTCTGTGCGCACAGGGAAATGGCTGATTACACTGCAGCCTGGCCATGGTTTCACACACTGGCATGGGCACGGACACAGGCGCACACCACCTTAGCCAGACAGACACAGACAGACAGGATGACCAGGCTAGGACACCGGGAAGTGGACACATGTCACTGGAAAAAACATGAAGTTTTTTTACGTTGCCCATGAGAAATTCCATCTGTAGGAAAGAATCACTCAATAGACCTGCCCCAAAGGCCAAGGCGTACGCGAGGCTTATGCAGGGGCTGACAGCGGTGGCTGTCCCTCCCGAGGAAACAAGCTGGAGTGCACCACCTTCTCGGCAGCACCGGTGGAAACGGGGACACTCAGCTTCCCTGGGGGAGACTGAACCCATGTACCATACAGCCCCTCCTCCTCCAACTAGAGGGCGAGAAATGGCTGCCATGGGCCTTGCAAGGCAGAAGAGTCCCCCTGTCAGATCCTCCACTGCAGAACCCAGATCTCATCTCCCAGCCGACCACCCTCAGACGGGTTCGCGAACACACATGGATTCATGACAGCCAAGGTTTCATGGGAGTCCCAAGTGATTAACTGGTTAATATACATTTGTGACAGCTTACAACTGTGAGGAGTGTCAACAGTTAGTGTAGATTAAAAAGGGGAAAAGGAACACAGCCACAAAAATAAAAACAGTTATCTTCAGGAGACACCTGTGGTCGGAAGTCCCTCCCACGCCATTTTCCAGGATCAGGACAGCAGAGCTTCCAAATGTGTTGTTGGCTCCTCGGTGACAGCACCGTACCTGGCTTCTCCCTCGGTTTTGGTTACCACGTGTCAGGAACTTCAAAGAGGTTGGCAGGACTGCCCAAGACACTTCCTGGGTAGAATGGACAAAGCAGAATCAACAGCAGCAGTGCCTTGCCGAACACAGCCCAGGCCAGCACACAGACAGGGCCTCCTGTATCAGGGGCTGTGGGCAGCCTCACAAGGGTGACAGTGGCCAACTGCAGAGCCCCAGGGGACAAGTTCTCAGACAGAATGCTATCCAGTCAACAAAAGGGTGAAGTCTCAGAACTACCACTGGGTTGGGGATGGCCAAGCACTTCCCTGGCCTCAACTTGGGTTGCTTTGATTTACATTCTATGGGAATTCAACATGGATGCTCACAATCTCTGTCTTGTTGAACACACATACTGTTCAAGTATGCATGGATTGTGAAAACTTTTTGCACCAAAATAAACTGAGCTTTTAATTCCATTTTCTGTGAAGTTTCAGAAACATCCTCATATTTCTCACTAGCAACTATGCTGAGCACTTAATCTTCATAAAAGCCCACCATGGTGGTATCTATATGCAAGAACTGATTCATTCAGAGAGCTAAGGCAAGGTGACAGCTTCCCCAAGCTAGGAGGTGACTGGCAGAAACCCAGGTATTTGTGCTGGGTAGTGCGCACCTAGGGTGGGGGGAATCCCAGCGGGAAGGGAAGCCAATAAGGGGGATTCAGAGATCCCTCGAGGTGCACAGGAAGCAGGGTGAGGCCTTGCTCTTGGATTAAAGAGCTCTTTAAATCGCAGGCACACCCCAAGGGCAGCGCCTTCCTTTTCTGTTTACCTTCTGTAGCAGTGGTAGCAGCGGCGGTGGCTGCAGCAACACAATTAGGACAGTGCCTTGCCTGTGTGCAGCCTCAGCGACTATGCACTGGTCAGGAAAGAGTGGGCTCACAGAGCAGGTGCAGTAGACCTAGCAGGGGCTGCACAAGGGATGCTGTGTACCCCAAGGCTGCAGGGACAGCCAGCAGAGGCCCCACCCAGCAGCTGACACTCTAAGATCCAAAGAAGAGAAATCTTGGATGATGTCTCAACTGGGGAAGGGTGTAAAGCCCAACCTACTAGGAAATGATTCGTCTGACAGGAGTAAGAACCACTAGCAGGGGTGTCTAAAGAAAAGGAAGCCACTGCATTAAAATGCACAGCGAGTGTTCGATAGCAGGGGTTCCCACTTCAGATCATCTGTCACGTGGGATCCCAAGAGTTGGGGCAAGGAGATCAGGATGGGGAGACTTGGAGTTCTCTGCCCTGGGCCTCATCTCAGTGTCATAACCTGTGACTTCCAACCTCTTGGATTGCAAGGCAAGATGCTTCCTCTGCAGCCTGTGGCTGCTGCTGCCGGGCAAGAATGATGGATGTGCAGAGGTACCAGCATTATAGGAGGTACTGAGAGTGGCAATGAAGGTCACTGCCAGGGATCCTTCCAGCACTTTCTGGGAAGGGAGGGCTGCAGGCCAATGAGGGCTGAATCTCAAAGCTACTGTGTGAGGAGCTATGGTCAGCTCTCCAGAGACGCTGTCCTCAGAGCCCTGTTTCACTACAGTGCAAGACCTGCCTTTATACTTCAGGACATCTACCTCCTGCAATGGTAGGTGTTAATCCACATATTCCACTCTATGCAAAGATCAACTCACACTGTACATGTAAATGTAAAAAGTCACATTAGAGACCTTTGGTAGAGACAAGTTTTTGCCACCTAGAGCTAGGCAAAGGTTTCTGAGCTAAAGTCACTAAAGACATAATCCAAAGGAACCAACAGATGCACTGGATTTTGTTGAAACTCAACATCATCTCTTCAAAAGACACTGCTCAAAAAACACCCCCCCAAAAAAACAAACAAACAAAAAAACAAAGCAAAGCCACAGCCTAGAATAAGACACTTAGCAAAACACTCAAAGGGACTTACAGCCAGAATCTATAAGAACCTCAAGGCTCAATATGAAGAAAACGGCGAAAGGAAAAGATGGGGAAAGATCTCAACAGACAGCTCACCAAACAGATGCAGGCAGCAGGCAATGACATGAGAAGATGCTCAGTGTTGTAAGTCACCAGATAAACACAAACCAAGCCTCAAGGACGCGCCACTCCATACCCATCACGAGGGCTGAGAAAGCCAATGAAGCCAAGGTGGAATGCAGGCGGAGGCAAGGACTGCCGGGACCTTACAGCTTGCTGAGGCGGTGCAGCAAGCTGAAGTCACTTTGGAAAAGTGTCTCAGCTTCTTACAAAGCTAAATGTACAATACCAAAAGACCCAGCTAGTCCATGCCTCGCTTCCTGCCCAAAAGAAATGCAAACAAACAAAACTCTGCACACAAACGCTTAGAGCAACTTGCAAATGTCTCAGGGATGTTGTAAAGAAGATGAAACATTTTAGTATGAATTATTATAATATGATTTGATCAAGAATTTCTAAAATGGAGAAAGAATATAAATTGTATATAAGGTGTGACATCTGTACTTGCTAATAGAATACTGAGTGCTAGACTGTGGTGTTTAAATTTCTTCTATTTTTTGCATTTTACAAATTCTCACAATGATCCTATTATTTTTGTTAACAAAAATAAAATACTGCCTCCTTAGCCATTCTGCTGACTGGGGGAAAAAGAGACACTCATGCAGGCTACATCTCTTTCTCTGGGTGAATCTTACATGGAAGCTGCGAAGCTGTCCAGCACACGGGGGTGGGAACCTCCCTTGGGGAGCTGCAGCGAGGACTTGGACAGAGCTCATGAGGGGATGTGATGGGACGCCTCTCCCACACTGAGGAGGCGGTCTCTCCCTTTGGGCAGCCAGAAGGAGGTGCCCAGGAAGGCTTCCAGCAGCGCATGCCTGGGTGCCGTCGTACATAGAAAACCATGCTTTAGTATGAATTACAAGGTTGTGGGAGAGCTCCCTGCACTTGGTTAGCCTGGTCTCTTCAGTGACTAGCACAGCAACTATGTATTTCATTTCTGACATTAATGAGTCCTGGAAGGGTATGAGAAGATTGCAGCTCTAAAGAGTCTACATTTTTACACTGTAACCCTAAGGGTTTAAGATGGAAAAGTTTAGCACAGTCAAGACTCTAATAAAAGTCATGGCTCTTGGCAACCATCTAAAGGTTCAATGTGCTGTGTTTTAAAGGTTGGGGCGGGAGGAGAGTGACCTGGTCTGACATCTCTGTTTGAAGGGAAAAAAAAAGAACCCCATGAACAGCCATTGTTTCTTCCTTCTGTCCCACCTCCCAGGTGTTGGGCTGGCCAAGGGAATTTTGAGAATGGTCAGCCCCTGAAACAGACACTAAGTGTGCTAAGGAAATCCATCACTTACACCTGATCTGGGAAAATGGCTACAATCCCTAGTTCATTCCAGCACTAACGGTCTGGGGAATGCTGCTCCTTTGTGGACCAAGACAAAATGCACCTTGAAGTGCTGCTGGGAGGGAGAAGAGAAGGCTGGCCGGGCAGTGCCAATCCCAGTGATCCTAAGGGGGTAGGGGGTACCTGCACTGTCCTGAAAACAGGAAACAACCCCACTTCAGGGGACGGTGTCTGCTGAACATGTGACAGGCCCTTGAAACGCAAGTCCCGGAGGCGGCGATCCCTTGGATCTCTATGCAATGCCTTGATGATGTGACGGCCCAGGCTGGTCCGTGCCTTCGATCTACAATGGCTGCAAGAAATCTCTTCACGGAGACTCCTTCCTCCTGCGACACACATTTTGGGGAATTTTACCCACTGCAGGGCTGGGTGGGTACAGGTTCTGCAGCCAGCCAGCCAGCCAGCTCTTTGCACACCAGCCACACACCTGGCCATAGTCCTGCCACCACAGAAACCAGGCCCTCTTGGCTTCTGGTGCACTCTGACTCACTATAGAGTCTGATTGAAATAACCGGGCAAGCAAAATTGATGGACTCAACAAGCAAAGCACCAGCTATCTTATGTCCTGCCGATCTTAATAAGATTCAACCTGAGAGCTGGGTTTCAAGGAGCTGGTAAAGTTCTACCCTGCTCCGTTAGGAGGTGTGCCTGGGAGAATGGTGCTGTTCAGAAGAAAGCCCAAGCCTCTCACGCTCTCACTCAATTAAAAGTTGTCAAGATGTCTCTTCCTTGTTAAGTGGTACTGACAAGGAAGAACAGAGTTACAGGTTCTTTTTTTTTTTTTAAGCTCAAATCTTACATCAGTGACAGCTTTAATGTCAATGGGAAGGGGAAAAAAACCCTTTGCATTTTATTAGAGTATTATAAATTCAAAATCTTAAGTAACTTATACAAAGCTTTCACTTAAAAACAATGAAAGCTATAAAAGGAACTAACTTATTATTGCTGTCTATTATTACATATTTTAACTTTAATATTTTTAAGATTATGCTGATAGAGAAGGGAAAAAACCCAGAAAGCTTGTCTCTGCAGTACACACCGAGACAAGGATATAAGAGGCTGCAGATGCCTGGCAGACATTCTAGCAGAGCCGCAGGCAGAGGAGGCCCTGTGTGCACGCAGGGGCCGTGCACAGGCCTGGGGCTGTGGAAGGCCTGCCCCGTGTCTGAGGTTCTGTCGTCCCTTGGAATGCTGCCTGATTTTCTCCCCACAGTAGAGCTTATGCACCCTGTGCTTGGAGCTGTCATGGGCTATTCTGACCTTGTGGAACCTCAGCTAATCTGCACTCCACACACCTGCTTTCCTATCACTGGCACTATGCTTTTAAAAAGTATAAAAACCCTCCCTTTCTTTGTCTCGGTGCGTCATCCTGTGAGATGATAGTCGCCCTGCTGCCATAATAAAAAGTTCAGTTCTGCACGACCTCATGTCCTTCGTTTATTAGCTTCTGACGTAAGTGGAGCAAAAGGCCGTTTCTACCCCCCACCACCAATCAAGCTCAGTGTGATCTCAAAGTTAGGCTACCACCTACTCAGGAACATTTCTGAAGCATGTACAAGGTGACACTGCCAGCAAGGTATCATGTTGAAAGCCTTGGATGCCACAAGGTCACAGACTTCAACAGAGCGTGGGGAGAGGAGGGAAGGCCAGTCCAGGGAGGGCTCCACATCCAAGGAGACGGATATCTAAAACTTGCAGTCAGGGTTTCCAGTAAGAATTTCAGTGTTTTTTCCTTCGTTTTGAAATTCGGCTTCAGTATAATGAATAAAAAGCACTATGACAGTTTTGCTGTTTCTGTGATCTCATTAATAACGATGAGATTCAGAAAATTCCCCACCCGCCACGTGCAAAGAAGGGACCCGTTAAAACAGTGAGTTCTGAGCTGGGGTGTGAACGGAGCTCTGCTTGGCTCTGCAGCCTCACAACTGCCTTGCTCTGATCTGACCCAGCACTCTGCTGAGACGGAGGAGGACACTGAGGCAGAGGTCAGCATCTCTCCCATCCTGAGGACTCAGCCCCTGACTGCGGGTCAAAGCACAGGCTCCTGGGGACAGAGGAAGGGCCCTGCGACCTCAGGCAATTCACACACGCTTTGGGCCTCATAAAAATGTACATAAACGGGCCAGCATGAGTACCTCAGTCATAAAACAAATGATGAGTGCCTCAGAGAGCTGAACGGAAGACATTTTGTGGAGCACTCATGGCTGTCCTTGACACACAACAAAACGTGGTATGCAGCCTGACCCTGCCGCAGACACGCTGACGGACAAACAAGTCCCGCTCTGCCCTCCTGCCTGGCCCCACAGGGGGCTTGTGTCCCAAGGGCTGAGTTAGACTTGGGGTGGCCCACAGCATGCCTCGGGTAGGGACAGCTCGTGGGGCAGCTCAGGAAGGTCTGGCTTATCCTTTCCTCTTTGCTGTGGACTGGAGCACGCACCTGCATCACTAACGAGGGGAGGGCGAGTCCCCACCTCAGGGCCGTTGTGAAAACGGAACAAGGTAAGGAGACGAACGGCTCCTACCGCAGTGTCTAGTGTGTAATATGCTCGTTCTCAACAGGTGTTCATTTCCTGTGTTCTTGGCTTCTTATATAATTCTGCTTAGATGAGAAAACTCAGGTTGCCTGGGGTTTTGCTGGGAACAGAAAAATCTCTGCTACCGAAAATAATGTGTCAGGGGTAGGCGTCTGTGAGAATTTAAATGCACATTTTAAACCCTGAGGCTATATTAGACACATCAAAGAAATCGTTAAGCCATGCAGGAGGGAGCGAGGACAGCGACAGGCCGGCCATCTTCATTGAGGAGACCTACAGTGCTGTCAGCTATGAGAGCCAGGCCTTTCAGCATTCCTTGGGTGGAATTCATCCTCAAACCTCAATCTGCCCTGCCACCAAGGGAAGCCCTGCTTGAGTGCTGCTCCAACTGAATGAGTTTTTAAGGTATCTTGGGAGTGCATGGCTATGGGATTTGCTCAGATTTGATACAAACCTGTTGGAGACAGCTCTTTCTTCATCCTTTTAAATTTCTTGGCCTTTTTCCTGCTCTCTGGGAGGGATTCTGCGCAGGAATCCGACTGCTCCTGCTCGGCGTCAGACATCTCCGCCAGGCTTCTGTCCTCTAGGCCTGCTTCTCTGGGAGGAGGGCTCAGGCTTCTTTTGCCTGCTGTGCTGCTGGCCGTCAAACTGAAAACACAGAAAGTGGAGCAACAAGAGAGGTGGTAAGGATAACAGGAAGACCGGCCTATAAAAACATTTTAATGCTCTTGAGTCCATGAACATGGAAGCAGCAATCACGCTCCTGGCTGTAAGAGTTAAGACACCACGTTAAGAACGAACACGTGACAGCACGCCCATGACCAACTTACTCAAAGTGCTCCGTTATGCACAGATATGAGAACACTTCAAGAAAAAACTGCATGAATTTCAAGGTTTTCTTTTTCTTTTTTTTTTTGGCAGGGGGAGGGGCACATGGAAACACACTTATCTTTTAATGCCCTCTTTCCTTACACTTTCTGAAATTCCCTTATAGATAAAAACAAATCAAGGTTGTCCCTCATGTTAGGGCCACTTTAGCTCTTAGTCTCCATTTCGGTAAAGCCACTTAACAGAGAAGTACTACCAAATGATAGAATTACCGTAACAAAATCATAGCTTGATTACATGAAACCAGGAGACAGCCCTTCCTGACCTTCCCGCACGTGAAGCCTAAACACGCACAGCACGTCACACACGTACAATCCTCTTCTCCCCAAAAGGCAATTCGTCACAATGAAACCTGGTTTTATTTTTTTGCTTGTCTTTTTATTAAAAAAAATGAAAAACGAAATAAATAAATATGATCTGAACCATATGCAGTTTTGTTGCAGAAAGTGAAGTCCATGATTTTCAAAGGATGGTGGCCATTTATCAAATAGATAATCAATTGTCACACAGTTTGAATAACTGAAGCAATATCCTTGAACTGTCTGTAGGAATTCTCAAACTGTGGGATTGTCATTTCAAAGAATTTGCTCTTTTTGTGGCCTTCAGGATCTGTTACTATTAGTATCACTCAACATAAGGATACTTAAAGAGATCTGCAGCTGTCCTAGCTCACTGCCATGCAGGCTTGCACTGGCAATCTGTACGTCTGGAATTAGCATTTGGCATCAGCTCACTAGAACCCTCCATGGCAGGACCCAGGACTCGAGGCATGGATACCAGCAGACATCTACTGGGCTTGGCTTCTTTCAGAATTTATTTTAAAATCAAAATGAGACACAGAGAGAGAGAGAGAGACAGAGAGAGAGAGAGAGAGAGAGAGAGAATATGAATATGAGTCTTCCATCTTCTGGTTTATTTCTCAAATGGCTGCAACGGCCAGGGCTGGGCCAGTCAGAGCCAGGGGCTTCATCGAGGTCTCCCCCTTGGGTGCAGGGCCCAGGACTTGGGCCATTTTCTGCTGCTCTCCCAGGTGCATTACTAGAGAGCAGGAGGATCAGAGGTGAAGTAGCCAGGACTCAAACTGGCACCCACACAGGAGACTACTACTGCTGGCTTACATCTGCCGCTGTACATGGGCTCCCGTGGTTTCACTTTTAAAGCCTTACAGGATTTGACAGGTTGGATTAAATCAGATGATGTACCCTGACTTTTTTTATTCCTTAAGAAAGTATGTTCACTTGAATATAATTTAGTTCACAGTTCACATGGCCAGTGACTGGGCCTTATATAATAAATATAGCTCTCAATTTACAAAAAAGATCAGAAAAAAAAATCAAGGCATTCCATCTAAGAGAGGCAGTGGTGGTGGAGATGAAAAGAGAATGTATTTATCTTAGCTGTTCCAGAAGGTGAATATTTAAAAGTATTGCTCACAAAACACACTGGCTTCCTCCATAGTGCTCTCGCACTCACATCTTCTCTGAGCCCGAGGATTGCACCTGACAGTTCATTCATGTCAAGAAGGAGAATGAACTTTGTCCCTGGTGATTCTGCAAGGTCTTAGGAAGCCAAGGAAGCATTAAAGAGATGGCCATGGCTGGCCTCTTATGATGGGCTAGCCGGCCGCTCATTCATCCTTTCTCACAGAAACATCTCTTGTTCCTGAGGGCCTATGGAGGAAAGGCAGGATACTGATGGAGCGAACCAGCAGATGGAAGATCTTTCTCTGTGTATCTGCTTTTTCAATAAAAATAATAATAAATCTTTAGAAAAAAATAAAGTGCAGTAATGAGGACATCAACTGGCACCCATGTGGGACGCCTGCATCACAGCCAGTGGCTTTACCTTCTGTGCTGGCCCCAAAGACGGACTTGCAAAAGGTGGTGTTAGCCCAAGTGGAAAAGGGTAAAACCAGACGTATTCCTTACACCATGCAACAGACAAATGTCCAATGAGCTACATTTCTAAATATGAAGAAAATGGTAACTACATAATTACTAGAAGAAGAGCTGGGTAAGTTTTTCCAAATCTTAGGCTTGCAGAAAGAAGTTTTATTACTATGATAGATAACCCAGAAAAAAATAAAGGATTTATAGACTTAACTTCACAAACATAAAAATCTTTTGCATGGCAATAAAAACTCGTGCAAACCAAAAAGGAACAAATGCCAAGCAGGAGAAAATACTTGCATCAAGCATCATAAATAAGTGGTTCGGAGCCCTAACATATATGTAGCTGAAAACGGAAGGACTAAAAATCTTACCAAAAAAAGAAAGCTGTGAATAAACAATCTGCTAAAAACACATGCATATATTCCTTAAACATGTGAAAAAAAGATTAACTTCATTCACAGTGCTAAACGAAACAATACCAAAACACTATTTCTCACCTATAAGCCTGGCAAAAATAACCAAAGGCTTGGTAATACAATCTGTCAGACAGGAGACGGACACTCCTACACTTCACTAGTGAGAATGCAAAGTAGTAGAACGCACTTTCAGAGGGGAATGTGGCAACTGGAAACAAAACTACACATGCACTTATTCTTTGACCCAGACATTCTACTCCTAGAAATTTACAAGATATACCTCCAACAGAAGCAAAATCACACAGGTGTGCTATTCATTGAGGCATACTTTATAATTGCAAATCATAGCAAAGTGTCTAAGTGTCAACACACAGGAGATTGTGTGAATATTCTAAATGGTACACACAATCAGTGAAGCATTACACAGCTGCAAAAAATAATGGAGAGCTTGAGGAACTGAGAACAATTGTGTAATAATTTTCAATTCTTAAATATCAAAAGCTAAAATGAGAGTCAGGCAAAGCAGCCTCCCTTCAGTAGCAGCTTCGTTTGCATGCAGTTGTTACACCCAGGTGGGCCAGCTTACAACCAACAAGAAGTGCACAGTTAAGCCCACTGTATGAAAGAGTGATGAACTGAAAAACACAATGTTAGATACAACTATGCCAAAATTGAACATTAAACTCAAAAGTTACTGTCAACCACCAATCAAATTCTGTAAGGGTAAATATCTACATTAATTCATACTTTAAGGACAAAAATTTGTTTGTAGAAATGTCACATTTAGAAACTTCGAGAATACTCTTTTCCATAAAACAACAGAAAAAATTTGGCTGCCACATGAAATGTTGTTATTCACATGCAATGAAAGTTACTCACTTTAAGTTTGGTTAATTTGGGGAGTTGAATATAACCTTGCTATTATTAAGACAATCAAATTGCTGAACGTTTCCTACCCTTAAAAAGATTACTTTTGTTATAATGAATGCGATTCATGCCCCCGTGATCCCTTACAATCATGCCTTTTCCATTCAGATGAATGGAATCACACAATGTCTAATCCTTTGTGACTGATTTCCTCCACATAATACACTGAGAGTCAGCCAACAGTGCAGGATGCACTGATCTCTCATGCCTACTGCTGAGTACTACTAGTCTTTCATATTACAGCTACATTACAAATTGTTTATTTATTTACCAGTTAATAGATATTTGGCTTGTTTCCAAGTTTTTGCTATTATAAATGATTATGCTGTGAACACTGTGGGAGCTTTCCTGTGAACTCAACTTTTTTTTTTCTAGGGTAAGTATTTAATAAAACTTCTGAGTGGTGTGTAAACAAGCACTCATGATATCCACTTAGTTTTACACAAATTTGTCTAACCATCTACTGATCATTTGTATAAGTTCCCTGAAGTACTTGTATAAATCTTTTGTTTCCACTCCTTTTTTTTAAAAGATTGGGTTTTCTTATTGTTGAGTTGTAAGCAGTTTCTGAATATAGCTTACTTTACTAGATATGCATTTTGTAAACAGTTTCCCTTTGTGGCTCCTATATATAGTTTCTTAAAGCATCTTTTGAGGAAAAGAATATTTAATTCTGATCAAGCATTAACTGTCACACATTTTAAGCATTACATATTCTTGATAGTCATTAATTTCAAGATTTAAGAATGAGAATTCAGCATTCTCAAACAATAAATTATTATGTATTTTTTCACAACACATTAAACTGGATGGCCACGTATTTCACCTGCACAGGTGGACAGCACCTCCTGAGGCAAAGTGAAAAGAGAGGCAGCACCAGAGGAAGAGTCAGAAAAGAAGAAGTAGGGAGAAAAAAGCCAAAAAACTTAGAACTTTGTCTAAGGGGAAGAAACAGAAATCTAGGTGCTCCACAGAGGGCTCGTCCACTTGGCCCAGTCCCATAAAGTTCAAGGCAGCACAGGCCACAGGTTCCTGAAAAGACCAGGTAACAAGACTGGGGCTATGTCAACAGGATCCCACCTCCTTCCAGGGAGCCAGGGGACTTCAGACCCCCAGACCAGTGAGAGATGGCCAGGAGGAGGTTTAAGAGAGGCATCCTCTCATACAAACCATGGACTCAGAGGCACCAGACTTGGGGGCAGGGCAGAGGGGAAGAGGGGCTAGCTGTTCCCACACGGACAAAGGAGGTTTCCAGCTTCCTTCTGCCACATTAGACCCATGGCACCAGCAGGGTTATGTAATTAAGATTATAATTCCAAGTTGTAAATAAGACAGTTGGTCTCCTGAAAAATCAAATCTTTCCAGGTGATGTCTTATTTAGAGTTGAGAGACTGAAAAGTATTCCTTCTGGGATCAGCAACTGAATGAAAGATGCCAGCTCTCATGACTTGTACTCAATACTTCCAGGGCACTACACTAGGCATCTCAGCCAGGGCAATAATACAATTCATACTATCCACCAGGG